AGTGTACGGGCTCCTTCAAAGACCAGTGATAGGCTGGGGACTGGCAGTCCGTTGCTCTACCCAGCAGTGGGAAAGAGGGCACGTGGGGACAGTGAGAGAGCGTGTACTGGCCGGAAGGTTTCACTCACAGGTAGCATCGCAGGGTGAGTGAGGGCCCCCAAAATATACGTCCGCCTCCTAACCTTGGAACCTATGAACACGGCCTTCAGTGGAAACACCAGCTTTGCAGGGGACATTAAGGACCTAGATGGCCAGCAGGTGGCATGGTAGTTAGGGCACTGGATCCCACACGGCCAGCTCTACAGTTCGAGTCCTGGACTCAGCAGACTGAAAAACATGCTGGGCGCATGTGTGAGGATGCCCAGAATCCTAAGAGGAGAATGAAGAAGGAATCGTGGCACGGTAATAGCCCCCTTGCGAGTTGCTTTCTCACTCTCTTTCTTTCTTTCTGACAAATGCACACATACTATGGTAAAAATGTTTAAAAAAAAAAAAAATTAAGGCCCTAGAGACAAGATCATTCCAAATTCCCTGGGGGCCCTAAATGCAGTGACGGTGTCTTTCTAAGAGGCAGCAGAGGAGGAGAGCTCCCAGACACCGAGCTCAAGGCCAGGTGTAGGCAGAGGCAGAGAGTGGAAAGATGTGGCCGCAGGGGTCGCTCAGAGCCACCAGAAGCTGGAAGAGGTGAGAGAAAGGAGGAAGAGGGAACCCTTGGAACCTTTCAGGGAGTGCTTAAATGTTTTCAAACACCAAGTTGTCAGCTCTGGGACACTAAGACAGGTGGTCTCACCAACTCCATGGTGTCTTGGCTGATCGAAAGGATAAGGGCGGAGGGCCCACTTGCCTAGGAGGCTTCAAAGAGGCATTGAGGGGCCAGCAGGTGGCGTGGTGGTTAAGGTGTTGAACTCCCACATGGCTGGTCTGCAGTTTGAGTCCCAAACCCGTGGCTTGAAAATCATGCTAGTGTGTGTGTGCCCAAGATCCCAGGAGGAGAATGGAGAAGGGATTGTGGCTACTCCCTTGGTGGGTGATTTCTCACTTTGCCTCTCACTGTCTCTCTCTCACTCTAATCCTGTTAGGAAAAAAAAAAGGCATTGAATATGGGGTGGAGGATGATAGAAGTGGGGAGCCCACAGTCAGCCCCTTCAAATGGCTTCTCAGTACCCAAGACACCAAGTCTCATGCCTTTTTACTGCCCACACTCCTTGTGTCCCCAAGCTAAGTCTCAAGAGTGAGGGGCTGGAGTCACTGCTGTGTTGACAGTGAGCCCACCTGGAACAGGCAGCTCATTGCTCTGTGTGGGAGACACCAGAGATGGCTCTTCTCCCCTCCTTCCCCCATGGTAGTGGCCCGGGATCGGCCTCAGGTCTTTCCGCATTGGTCCTGGTCTCCACTCCAAACTTACTTCTGCCCTGCAGCTTCCCGACCTCTTGCCTGTGCAGTAATGCCAGACTTCAGACTCTGCGTTGCGGGACACAGGTTGGTGCTCCTGGCAAACTCCTAACTACCCTTCAAAACCCACTGCTCCTGGCCAGCCTCCTCATTCCCCTTACAAAGTGAATGATTCTTCCACAGTACCGCCTCCTCACGTCCACCTGTTTACAAGATATAATACTGCCCAGTATGTACGCCATCCCACCCTGGCCTGCCTTTGCTTACACTGGTATTCCCCGCTCACACGTCTGATTCACATCAGCACCCTGGGCCCCCAGCACGATGCTGAAAATGACTAGTTGGATTATACGATACACTGACCAATATTTGCTTGGTCACTCATAGCTACATCGAAGCTAAAAGTCCAAAATGTCCAAGTTATAAATCCTTCTCTACAGTTCCCCGTCCCCGGGCGCCCAGCAGTGACTGCCGTTTGAATACCTCTCTGCAAGGACCAGGACGAGGGTGGCTTTCTACCCGGACAGACCTCTCTCTTTGGGGTCCTGTGTGGCATCAGTACCTAGGTATCTCAATACGTGGTGATAGTTCTTCACGTTGTAAGAGAGGACCAGGCTATTCCAGCCAGAAGAACTGTGGGGCAGGGGGGTCTCTAGGGACAAACTGGAGGGCTGTCACATAAAGGGGACGTGGATGGTAGAGGGGCCCAAACGAGAAACGATTCCTTATACCAGAGAAGAAAAGGCCATTGGCAGCCACCACCAACCAAGTTCTCAGTGCTGTCGGCCCGGGTGTCACTCCTGAGGCCAGGACCAGCAGGGAATTCTTGCCACCTCCCTGGCCTAAGCCACTGCAACCACAAGCTCGCCTGCTAGTCGTCCCCTGAGCCTTCATTTCCACCTGCTCATTTACGCATGACACCTGTCTCTGCAGGAGAGAGACGTTTTCTTTCTAGCCTGGCTTCTTAACCTGACAGAGAGCGCCATTTGCTGGCTCATGCTGAGGAAGGCCAGATCTGACTCCGGCCCTGCGGGTCATCGCCAGTACCTGATCCGCAGAGAGAGGGTCTGGTTGTGTCTCCATTTGGACGACGCGGGCTGGATGTTGTGCTTAATGCTTTCGTTACTTCTGTCAACAACAGCTGGCGGCGAGGAGCCGTTTATTACAACTTCAGCTCTGGGAGGGGAAAAAAAAGGAAGAGGGTAGATGTGATCCTTTAGCATGCCTGTGACAAGTCTAATAGTTTTGTTTTTGCACGGGCGTGAATGTAAACTTCTGCAGAAGCGCAAAATTGCAGTTATTACCTGAGAAAGGAAGGGAGTCTGTTTATCTCCTAGAAATGCACAAACCCCCTCCCTCAGGTAGAACTGAGGAACACAGAAAGGGAGGGCATTAAAACTATCTTTCTCCCCTCCGTCTCCTGACGTTTCCCCAGTGCAACCTGCCAGTCACTGGCAGAAAAGCGATGTTTCCTGCTCGGGCTCTTGATAAAGAACTCCACAAGGAGCAGTTCCGTTAGCCGCTGGCTCTCACGTAACGGCTTATGAACTTAATAAAGAGAAAAACAGCTCAGACCAGGGCGATGTCATTGTAGCCCATGGCTTCTCCCTTCTCTCTCTTCCCGCCAATCTCTCGTCGGTAACCCTGAGATGCCACTCTGCTACAGAATTATCCAAACTGTCTCTCTCTGCCTCTACTGTCAAAGGGGGATCGCCCTCATTTGTATTCACCTAATGGGCCAATACAACAGGTGCTTAATTAATAAGTATTGTATTTGAATTTGAAATTGGGGTTCGGAGTGCATAAAGGAGCTGACCAGCTCTGTCTTCCTGGGACAAATCATAATTCTGGATACACAGCATCTCACACCCAGCTCGGGAGTGCCAGACATCGGAGGATACACTTGAATTCAGAGGCTTGAAATCTATGTCAGTAGGTTTCTAAGAAACCAGGTTACAATTCTATCTTTCGTGACAGTCTAGGAGCTGGGCCGCCTTCTGCCGGATACACACAGGTACTTGTGGGTCACATCCGAAGTTCCTTTTGTCTGTGCTGACAACAGATTCTCCCAGTTAGAACCATAAATGGATTTGCGATGGCAAATTCTGGAGCTTTAAAGAGTTCAAACTGAACATTGACATCCTTTGCATGGATCTCGGAACAGCAAGTTAGAAAAGATGAAATCCTATTAGTGAGGTCTAAGCCCAATGCTTCGTTTTGCAGATGGAGAAGAAATTCATTTAAGGGTTTGTGCTGTCTCTCACATCGCTCCATCCCCCTACCTTCACTGCTCAGTGTTCTTGACTCCTCTGACTGATAGCCTCATCTTGGATTCAAATACCTATAACGCGGGGCCAGCAGATGGCATAATGGTTACATCGCTGGACTCCCACGTAGTTGACCTTGGTTCGAGTTACGGACATGGCGACTTAAAACCCATGCTGGACGTGCGTGCCCAAAATCCTGAGAGGAGAATGGAGGAGAAGGGATTGTAGCATGGCCAGCCCCCTTGAAGGGGGTGATTTCTCGCTCGCTCTCTGTCTCTATCTCTCTGGGGAGAGCACGTGACCTATAGCAAAATTCTCTCTCTAAAAACAAAACAAAAAAACAAATATACGTAACTTTACAGGAGATGGAAAAATGAAAGGATTTTGAGGAAAGACACATGGACTCTGAGCATGCATCTTAAGGGAGCCTATGAGAGAAAACAGAACTCTTATCCTTTGGAATTTTGACTGTTTTTATGGAAGGAAACAGAAGGTACCATGGAAAGAATTCATAAGGCCGTGTGACTGTAGACAGATCACTTTACCTGTCTGATCCACAGTTTCCCCATGTATAGGAAAAAAGTGTGGAAGAGGTAGATACCTAGCTTTAAGGTTCTAGAATCTAAAAGGTCCACCACTGGCCCCATGTCAGGGACTCTGGCAGGAGCTGGTATGATTGCCTTTCTTGGCACCTCTGTTTGTGTGACCATAGGCAGAAGCAGAAACCTCAGGACTATAGATGGGACATCCGCACCCCAAGACGTCAAGCTTCACTGCAGCTTGTGTGGGAGCTGGTCATGTTTGTGACGAGGAGTTGACTTCCTAGGAGGCAGGCTGGTGTTCGTCTCAGTAGTCAGTGACTGGGGCCTGGCAGCTCATGGCTAATGGTGGATTCAGTCTAGTCCGATGCTTCCCATAAGCTGTACCTTATTGGATGACACCCCGGGTTCTCGCAGGGAAGAAAGATCTACAGAGGTACGCTGTCAGGGAAGCTCACAGAGTAGACCTGCCCAAGGACTTCCAGGAGGGGTTTCCAGACGTGGCTTGCATACTACGGAGTGGCCACACAGAAGCAGGTGGTGTCAGGGGAGGCAGGGAGGAGGCACGGATAGTGCTGAAATTCCATTTCTGTCCCCACTTCCTCACGTCGCCTTGGACGGGCCCTGTGTGGCCAGCCATGGTCTGTCTTTAACCTTGGCTCTGTCACTATCTGGCTGGGGACTTGGGAACATCCCTTCAGGTCTCTGATCTTTGCCTTCTTATCTGCAAAATAAAGGGGATGGATTGATAATCCCAGAGACCGTATTGGTGCACAAGTTTTATTTTTTTATGACTTTATTTATTGAGAGATTTTTGCTATAGGGTGTGTGTGCTCACCAGGAAGATAGAAAGTGAGAAATCACCCCCCCCTGGGGGTTGGGGGGCGGGGGAGATGGCCTTGCTGCAATCCTTTCTCCTCCATTATCCTCTTGGGATTTTGGGCATGCATGCACAAGTGTCCGGCATGAATTTTAAGCTGCTGGGTCCAGGACTCAAACCATGGTTGACCACGTGGGAGTCCAGTGATGTAACCATTACACCGTCTGCTCTTTCCTTGGTTCATGGGTTTTATATGCTTCATGTTGCACAAACATGGCTGGATTCCTAAACTGAGGTCTTCCTCTCCCCAGTACTCCATCTGTCTTCTAGATGACACTAGAGGTACATTTCATGGTTATGATGCTCTTCCTCCTAACTCCTGACCCATCACCCTCAGGGATCATCTTCTGATGCCTTGGGTACATCCTCACTGATGCTAATGAACCGCAGTGAATACCTTTCACACCTCGAGTTCTAGGGCTGCTGCCTAGCCCTGTGTACTGAGCAGCTGTAATCCCAATGTTATTCTAGCAAACACCAGGCTAACGACAGGGCTGCCTGGCTTCCAGAACGTTCTTTCCACTTCTCATACTCAATTCTTTTTCTTTTTTATAGAGAGAATTTTGTTATAGGCTGTGTGCACTCGCCAGAGAGACAGAGAGAGACAGAAAGCAAGAAGTCGCCACCCAGAGGGGACAGCCATGCCATAGTCCCTTCTCTTCCATTCTTCTTTCGGGATTTGGGGTACACATGCTCATGCCCGCGGTGATTTGGAAGTTGCCAGGCCCGGGACTCAAACCATGGCCAACTGTGGGAGTCTGGTGACGTAACTATTAAACCATCTGCTCGTCCCCTCATAGTCAATTCTTAAGAGTCTGCATCTCCCTCAGTTACCACCGGGACTTGGGCTTGAGCAACAGTGACATCTTTCTCCAAAAAGCGGGTATCTTCCCTTAGAGAATAGACAGGTACTTGGAGATACATGGCCTGCTCCATTATTTCTGCCATCTCATTCCACCAGGTAGAACCTAAGCTTCATTTTCAACACCAAGGTGGCTAAGAGGTCATTAGTGGTCTAGAAGTTAGGAGGCCCCCGACTGAGGGGACAGTTTCTTGAGTCAATTTTGCCAGCTCAGAAACGAACTTGACAGGTCTCTTAGGGTCGAGAGCCCTAACAAATAAGGAAGGACAAGTAATAGAGTCTCCTCCAGATAACGTGGATTGCTTATTCCCAGTCTAGCCAGGACGGAATATTGAGGACGCAAAACACGGTCTGTATTTTAGGGAGTGGCCTTCGTTTGTGTAAGATAACCCGGCATCTCCTTCCAGTACGTCTTAAACTGAGGTTTAAGATTACAGGCCGTGGTTTGGGGACACTTTCGATGGTGGAGAGTGGAGACCCGGAACACTGTCTGACCACACCAGGGGCAAGCCTGGGCTGGGGGCTGGGACACCATTTGTTGCATATTTCCCTGCATCATGCTGTCTGCGCACCAGCGGCCCCCAGGCCAGCACTGTTCTTCAGGTGAAATGATCACGCTCTTTCTAAGTTGACAGTGTACGTTCGATAATCAGGGTAAACTTCACTGTTTGACTCCCTGAATATTTAAAAAGGTCTCAGCAAAGTTCCCGGCTGCCTTATTTTCCATCTTAATCTTCTGCACAAGCCATCTCCTGCAATGAAATTAGGCGAAAGTCCGGGTTCCCTTCAGGGTCTCCATTGCTTAGCAGAAATGCAAGGTATGAGTAAGCTCATTGGCCGCCCAAGCACTCCGAAGTGGGTGGGCTCTTTTCCAGAAAGCGTCTCTTATCCATCTGTGTTTTCCCATCCCTGTAGCCTCTAGACCTTGGTTGATTTTGTGTGATCTTCCATCCACAGCTCCTCCCAAAAGTGATTAGGAAAGTGCAAAGCCAAAGTGAAATGAAACAGATCTATTTGCTAAGTGAGAAGGGCACCATCCAGCAAAGAGGAGAAGCAGATTAATAGCTGCCTTACAGCAAAAACAAATGAACACAAAATCTAATTTACAAACCTATTAGATTTGCTATGTAAGCTGTTCACAGCTGATCTGATTGTACCTCTGCCTCCAGAATTCCTGCAAGACAAAGGAAATGCATTATTTATAAACCCAGCTCTTCTTTACAGAGCCCTCTTCAGTCGCCAGGAGATCCCATAGCCCACCTGGGGAACTACAGAGGGAAGGTGTGCTCTCACTCTGCACTTTCCAGAGTGGGCAGAGTCCTGGGCCCAGCCACACTCCAAGCTTTTTACAGGAAAGGGGTCCTACTGGATCCTCCCCTGCCTCCCACTTGAACATGGTTTGAATTAGCACTGTCATTTCCATGTGAAACTCCCATTGGAGACTGAAAATAAACCTCCTTGGGATTAGTCTCACTTAATTAATCCCATTGGGTAGCACGATTCAGCACAACTCAGTGTCTGCCCGTCTTCAGGTCGTTTTACTAACACGTGCTCATGTGCTGCCTTCTGTTTTTAAGTTTTGCTATAGGGCTCTTGCGCTTGCCAGAGAGAGGCAGGGAGGGGGAGAGAGAGTGAGAATTCACCCCCCAGGGAGGATGGCAATGCTGTAATCTGTTCTCCTCTCAGAATTTTGGGCATGCATGTACACGTGCCTGGCGTATTTTTCATGCCGTCAGATCCAGGACTCAAACTATGGAGTCAGCTATGTGGGATCCTGCTGCTTAACCACTGTGCCACTGGCTGGTCTAAGATGCTGTCTGTCCCGTTCCCTCCAACCTTGAGATACTGGGAACTCAACAGAGGAAGGAGATGGACTCAGCTGTGCTTGCAGCAAGTGTGGTAACCATTTGCTTTTTGGTGACAGGAGCTAATATTAAGTGGTGTTATTTGGTAGGGGTGAGGGAGGGGGGCGGGTGAGTAATGGGGTCCTTTACCCCTTCCTCTGAAGTATAGGCTTTTCGAGTAAACTCGTAAGGCTCGCTCTCTTCCGTTCTGTCAGGTTCCGTTCCGTCTCCCCACACAGTCTCACCCTGTCTGCTGTCATCCTAGGCCGGAGGGTGAATGAATACCTGCACCCCTGCCAACCCATTTTGTGCCGTGTGTGTTTTAGAGACTAATTATTAATACAAAAAAAAAATTCCCCACTGATTTATAGGGTGTGTGGTGTGGGAGGGAGGATACTTCATACTTCTCTCACTTTTTAAAGTTCTATTCAGCCTTTCTGTCAAGATGTTGGTCACTCTGAGAAAAAACAAACAAAAACAAAAAAAACAAGGCAACAGTGGACATCACTGAGTAAGTTGTATATTTGAAGGCATCCTGTCATTAGGTGAGACCACTTTGGGTGGAGTTAATTTTTTTTTTAGATAATTATATTATTTAACTTTATTATTTTTAAAATATGACCATAGAGGGACAGAGAGAGAGAGAGACAGACAGAGACAGAGAGACAGAGAAAGAAAATGAGAAAGCAAGCTACCAGGTTCGGGACTCAAACTGCAGTCAACCATTTGGGAGTAATCACCATGACACCTGCTGGCCTTGGGTGGAGTTAATTCTTATTCCTAAACTGAGTTTAAGTCTGGATTTTCCCACATGTTTTCCTTGGGATTAGTTTATGCATTATGTAAAAATGCGTACATGTACATATACACACACACACACACACGTAACTATGTAATATTTATGTATATTTAAATATACACATCTTTTCCTGATAGATTGGAATAACTTTTTTCTTTTTCTTTTTTTTTTTTTTTTTTAGGGAGGGATTTTTGCTACAGGGTACATGCACTGGCCAGAGACAGAAAGTGAGAAATCACCCCTCAGGGGGCATGGCCATGCTGCAGTTTCTCCTCCTCCAGGCTCCTCTTGGGATTTGGGGCATGCATGCACACATGCCTGGCATGAGTTTTAAGCCACCAGGTCAGGAACTTGAATCACAGTCAACTACATGGGAGTCCAGTGAGGTAACCATTACACTATCTAGTGGTCCCTGGACTATCTTTTTAATGCTATTGGGCAATGGGCAGCATTTTCTCATTTCACAGCCAGACAAGTAGACAACAGGGGCACGCTATAATGTACCCAGGGTCTCATCGCAGTTGTTTCTTTAGGTCTCAAGGTGGTTTTTTTTGTTTGTTTTGTTTACTGGGTTTATTTATTCTGTGAGTGGTCAAGGGAAAGAGAAAGAGAGATAGAGAAACAGCATTCCCATGAGGCTCTTGATACCACAGCCCACCCCAAACTTGAGCCAGCCATGGAGCATGGACACATGCATACCCCGTTACCCCGTGTACACTCAGGGAACTCGCCAGACCTGAACACACAACCTTTCTATGTGGCTCACGTTCACAGAACATTGCATTTTACTGCTGCACCACAGTTCTGCCCTCAAATTTATTTCTTCATTACACAGGGTATTATTGATATTTCTCATTGCAATGTAATGTGTAATATTTATTTTTTGGATCTCTCCTCATTTTCCCTTAAGATGGCAAAGTTACCAGCAGTTAGCGTAATGGCTATGTCACTGGACTCCCAGGTAGTCGACCACGGCTTGCATCCCGTACCTGGTGGCTTAAAACTCACGCCGGGCGCGTGTGCATGCGTGACCAAGATCCCGAGAGGAGAATGGAGGACAAGGGATTGTGGCATGGCCATCCCCCCTGGGGGGTGATTTCTCGCTTTCTGTCTCTATGTCTCTCTCTGTCTGGCGAGCACACGCGCCGTGTAGTGAAAACCTCTCCAAAAAAAAAAAAAAAAAAAAGATGGCAAAGTTCTTGCCCTGCCTGCTTGGGCCCTGGGAGTGTCTGGCCAGCTCTGGACCCTGTAACCCTAGTTCATCGGGGTCAGGCCCCAAGGGCTTTGCTGGACGTGTTGCTATCCAGTTTCACGCTCCTTCAACCCCAGTCTTTTCCAAGCCAGTCCCCTCTTGGAGGAGGGAAGGCCTCCCCGGACAGATATTAAGTGAAGTGCTATAATTAAAACTACAATAATAGCTAATGAAAAGTTAATGGAACAGAAGAGGCTGTCCAGAAATGTCACACTTAACAATTAATACACAATCTTAAAAAATATTATCAAAGAGAAATCTAATGCACAGCCTGAAGTAACTGCTTAACAATCTGAGGTGAGTGGGAGAAAGTCAGTTGGGTGTCTACCCTGTTGGAGACCACAAATTAATTTTCAAATGGATTTAATCAGCGTTACCAAGCTTCAATGATTCCTGTATTCCTATCACCATTTGGCCATGTATGTCAACACCACTTACTATTATTTCCTTTTTTTTTTTTTTAAAGGTTTTGCCATGGGGAGTGTGTGATCACTGGAAAGAGACAGACAATAAGAGGGAAAGTGAGACATCACCCCTCAGGGGGGTTGACCATATCACAATCCCTTCTCCTCCCTTCTTCACTCTCTGGGATTTTGGGCACATACGCACATGTACACGGTGTGATTTTCAAGTCATCGGATCCAGGACTTGAACTGTGGTTGGCCATGGGAGTTCAGAGTCTTAATCCCTATGCCACCTGCTGGCTCCCACTAGTATCTGCTTAATTTTTAAAACTGATTCATCTTTAAAAACTTACCCTTATCCTAAGGAATAACAACTGTGAAATACAGATGTGATATGATTACATACTAATTTATAATAAAACCACAGAACTAGGCCAGCCAGTGGTGTGGTGGTTAAGGTGGTTGGATCCCAATGGCTGACTGCTTGGTTGGAGGCCTGAACCCAGTGACTTGAAAAACATGTTGAGAAGGCAGCAGGTGGAGTCATGGTTATGCATATTCCCTATAGCAAATTATTTAAAAATTTAAGAAAATCCAAACTAACCCACAGAACTATTAACACAAAAATATGTATCGATGGAGTTCCTAACGTCATCTTACATTATCAGGAGAGGTAGTAGGCATACCGGCACCACCCTCTGGGAAAGATCGCATTAAACAGGTAAATATTTAAAGGAGGCAAATCATAAGAAACCGGTAAAGACCTGGAAGAGACTATTTATCATGTCTTTGATGAAGGCTGTAGTGTATTTGAAGAACCTTTTAAATTCAGAAGGATAAGAAGAAATCATGAGAGAAAATGTGGACAGATTTGACTTCATAAACACCTAAAACTCTACTTATTCAAAAAGCAAACCCCAACAAATCTGGTTCACCGTCTTTCATGAAGTCTAAAAGGGCTCCAGGTGAGGACCTCACTGCATCTAATTTAATGTTCTTCCTCACTGACTCAATGAAAATTTATTTGAGTGATATGATATTTTGGTCTCTTGCAAAGTTAGACAAATAAAGCCCCCGCCTTCATGGGCAGCTCAGGCAGTGGCAAAGACGTTCATTCCTTTTTTTTTTTTTTTTTTTTTTATGTTTGTTTTTGCTGGAGGGCGCATGTGCTCACTGAGAGGAGAGAGGGAGGAGAAAAGGAGGAGAGAGAGAGATCCTCTCAGATCCCCTCATGCACGCATGTACATGCACCTGGTGTGCTTTTCAAGCCTCTGGATCCAGGACTTGAACCAGTCAGTCTTCTGCCTGAACCACATGCCACAAGCTGGCTCAGTTTTTAAAAGTGTATTTCTAGAAAGCACGAGAAAGACAGACAGAAAGCATCCCCCAAGTGAGCCCAGAATAATGGTTATGTCACTGAACTCCCACACAGTTCACTGTGGTTCAAGTCCCAGATCCGGCAGCTTAAAACTCATGCTGGGCATGTGTGTGTGCGTGCCCAAGACCCTGGGAGGACAATGGAGAAGGAATTGTGGCCTGGCTATACCCCTTGGGGGTGATTTCTCGCTTTCTGTCTTTCCGGGGAGCACATATACCCACCTTATAGCAAAAAAAAAAAAAAAAAAAAAAAAAAAACTCTCAAAGAAAAAGAAAAGAAAGCATCCCCTAAGGAGATGCGACTATACAATCTCCTCTCCTCTGTCTCTCCATTCTGTCAGGAGGTAGGGCGTGCACACACGTGCTTGGCATCTTTCTTAAGCCATTGGCGCCAAGATTCAAACTGCATTTGGCTACTTGGGATCTGGCTTCGTGTGCATAGATCTTAACCACTGGGCTATGGGCCTGGCCCTCATTCATTTTTTTTTTTTTTTTCCT